CGCCCTTACCTCATGCGATCGAAATTTGGAATCGTTAAGCTTCTTTACTGCATATTTCATATCTTCGTAGCGCAAAAACTCCACCACCCCTGTGCCGTCTTTAAAGACATCTGCATACCCAACATCGCCTGCTTCCCTCATATGATCCTTCAGATCCTGCCAGCTACCTGTTGGCGGCAATCCATCAATGACCACACGAAAGTCAGATCTGCGAGATGGTCCACCACCTCTATTTCCGAAGGACTTCCTTAGGCCGCCACCGCCGCGAGGAAATTCAACTCGCAAGGCGTATCCATCGTATGTATAGCCGTCTCGTTCTCGAACCGCGTCGGCAGCATCTCGTTCATCCTCGAATTCGATGAAGGCGAAGGGAGGTCCGCGCCTGCACTTCAAGTCGATCTCGAGTATGTTGCCATACTTGGAAAATATTGCCTCTATATCCCTTGCTTTGATGTCGGGAGGGAGGTTGCCAACGTATATCTTGTAATCCTGACGGGACATAAGGAAGGCGCTATAAACGAAAGAGGCGTGGCGATAAAAGTCTCTAAAACAAACAAAGATCAAGCTTGAATGCTTTAAAACATATTATTATATTAAAATTATTAAAAAATTAAAAAATTAAGTTTTTTGCACAATAAAAATATTTAAATTAACTTTTTAATTTGCCATTTATAGTACTTTGTTTAATATTATATTTTTATGCACATTTTGACCTGCCTCCTAACCTTAGGGATGTCTTTCTTGTCTACCTTAGGTATGCTTTACTTCATTTAATTTGTCTTTAGCTCAAGCTTTACGAGATATTGGTACTTATCCTAAGGAGTACAATCCTCGAATTCATGGTTCTTATAATCCTGCTTGTTATTATGGGCGGCCTGATACACCACTAAAAAATGTGAAACTTGGCGAGATACCTGCCTGGTTGTCTCGTAGGAGCCGAAATCCTCTTGACTTGGGGCGATCCTGCAGCCGTTTTGTCTGGCGGTATATTGAAGTTTGGGCGAAGCCCAAGAATGCAGATATTCGATTCATCTTTCAGCCTCTCGTTTTCATAGCTGCAACTCATTACCTCATGGAATATAGCCACACGCATAAGTATACAAGACATGCGAAATACCACTAGCTGCTATACTATATACGATAGGCTAATTAGTTTCATTGTCTTGTAGAAAATTTCGAAAAGGACATAAATTTATCAGGTCTACCTTCTTTTGTCCTGGCATCCAATTTGGGCTTTCGTCTCATTCGATATCGTTATCCCCCTTCCGCCTCAGCAATTGTAATTTTAAATCGCTCATTTTTCCCAGTCTGACGAGATGTGCATTTCTGTGCTTCGCTCACCTACAATGATATCGCTCGTCATCTGCCCCATTATACTACAGTAGTTGGAACTATTTTTCTTGCTTTGCGATTATCCGGCGGATATGGCTTCCTACAATTCCTTCTATAGTCTATATAACGCCCCAAAATTTTCTAATTGGCAAGCACTACGCCCTGTATTGAGATGGAGTCGTAAGTGATTACATTCGTCTACGTCCCTGGATTTTTCATTTAGAAGTCCGTACTCAGTTTGGAGCGTCCCGGAGCCAGGGCCGCTGAGTTATACTCTTACTCTTTATTATGCGCAATATAACCTTATTAATCGAACCGACTACATATCCGTATGTGCTTTTTGGTAACGCTTGGCTCATTTCTTGTATGATCTCAGCTAGACTTGCTCGTAACCATCCATGACACGTCCTATCAGAGTATTAACTTTTGTCCACTTTAAACCCTTGTGTATCCAGCATGACCATCAAAGATGTTCTCTGCATATCTCATCGCTATTCACCCAAAGTTTTTTCATCATACGCTTACTTATCCGCCTCGCATCGAAATACTTACCGAATGCATGCGCGTCGGCTTTGCAACTGTATCAAGTGCTCACAATTCCCTATTTCCATTTGCCTCCCTAGCGCATAAATATGCGCATGTGCCTCACTCATCATCTGCTCG